TAATTTTGCAACTTTTAAAGGAAACTTAACGTATACGTACCGTTAAATAAGCTAATCTCGAACTTTGTGGCTTTTTTGTTGTTACTGGGACGGCATTGTTCATAATTTTCTATATTTCTTCTGTAGATAGCTCACCGAATCTGCTTTTTTTCATCCATTGTTTTGTCGACGAAACTTGGCTTCCCGCGAAAAAGTTTATGCCGAGCGACATTTATCGCATTCATTTCCATATAAGGTCAAACGCAGGTATAATGGCTGGTAACCGAGATCCAGTGAACCAATCAGAAAGCTAGAATTGCATTATCCGAGGTTGAGAATTTAATAATAAGCGTTAAACATGGGTTATTGACCAAGCACGCTGTAAAGATGGCTGGATATTGGGCAAGGTTTATTTTTGCGTGTTTATGGACCAAGACGGATTCGAGTTCCATTACGCAAAAAAGAATTTGGCCAGTCAGTCCTGCTATCTTGACCGAACAGGCTTGGGCATGCAATAAAGGATTATTAATATGGCATCTGGTTCGGGAAAAATGCTTTCTTGCGGGACTACGGGTAATCCCGAGCAGGCAAGATAGCGCCATCTTGCCCGCTCGGGTAGCCAATCACAGCACAGGATTTGGTCCATCTTCAGAGTTTCCCTCGCGGAGCTAGCCCTATAATAAGGGAAAATATTACCTTTTTCAGTGAGACTTTTTGAGCATCGAACATTAGCATGATAATGAAAAACTGGAGCATAATGTACACAACCCTAAATGGGAAAATGCTAAGCGGTACCAAAAAGCTATTTACAACCCCTAGAACAAAATATTCCTTACTGGTTACCGAGAGGCACGGGGTCGTGTCAAGTATGAGGAAAACATTTTCGTCTTACATTTTCGCGGCTAATATACTCGTTTTGATTACCTTCATACTTTCATAGGCACAATGGGAACACTCTACTCCGTGCTAGAATCATTGTAATGTGAGTAGGTCCTCAAAGCGTGCGAAGGCCTTCATTTGGCTTACATTTTATCCAACATGAATTGTAATGAATAAATTAATTAATTTCAGTACAACGGTGGAGATGGGCATCTATAGCAGTTCAGACCACGAGCGCTCAATTTAACGTGCATCGTGAACGTTTAAAAGTGTTATATTCATAGCTTGACGAGAGTGGGGAGGAAGGGAGGAGGGGGGAGGAAGAGCAGTAGGTCGCGCAGGGAAGCCACTGCTGTGAGCATGAGAGTCGTACAGTTTGTAGTTGGCTAAGATTACTCACCGTTACCACCCTGAAATTGCAAAGTGCTACCACCCATAAATTGACGCCGCCAAGTCACACTTTCGCTCTTTTATTTATTTATTTATTTAATTTATTCAGTCATCTATTTTCTTCTTATTTTTTTGACAAGGATGCATGGGTATAATAAGTTGACATGATCAGAGGTGATAAACTAGAAGCATATCACATCTCATATCAATATAAAGGGTCAAATTGGTCCAAATTGAAGGCAACTATTTGACTATTTGTTTATCGTTCTTTTTGCAAGGAGCTCTTCATATAATGATCGCCAACGAAACTGTTTAAGATGTTGTGGTCATGTACAGTATGAGCAAGATCCAAGAACAGGCCCAGTAAATGTTATATATACAGAGAAATATTAAGATGAAATCAAAACAGCCAATTCGTGTTGTTTCGACTAGTCATCCTCAAGCAACATAACCTGTGAAAGACAAAATTTTTCGGTTAGCTTTTGACAGTCTTAAAGAGTGTGTTTAATCTGTATCTTTACAAAGAGTAGTTTTTTGCTCAAAATAAATTTACAAATTGATCAAGGTAAGATACAAGGTCTGAATCAAGCGAACAAACCTTTCTTCTCAGCTAAGCCCATCTGCATATGGCCCTGTCCATATCCCATTTTCTGGGTTAGGTCACGAACCCTGAATTAAAAAGAATACAACTCATTTAAGAAAGTATCGTCTGTATTCTATACCCACGGATTTCTGTAAAGTGACAGTTCATTGGTCATTTTATCTCTCAAGTTCAGTTCCGTTATCCGTTGTCCAGGAGACAGGGTTTTCAGCTGGTAAATATGCCAGGTTTCGTTACAAGCTGCAGCTGTCACTCAGGGTTTCAAGGTAGATTCTGCGATTTGCTGGCATGGATAACAAATTATGAGCTGTCGCAAATTATGACGTCGAGGTTGATAGACTGTTTCTCAATAAAAAATCCCGCGGACATCTTTCAGGTTTTTAGTAGCAGGATATGTGAGTTGGAGCCAAGAATTGCCAAGTAAAAGTTCGTGTAATTTATTCTCAGAACTGGCACTAGTAGAACTGTGGGACTACAACTAGGAAGAATTTCAATCTCTAGTTATAACGTTCGACACTCACTGTTTCTTCATGATGATGTACAGAACCAGCAGCACAACACAGAAGACTGCCAGAGCGAAGATGAAGATACCGTACATCAAGAAAGCCTCCTGATTGGTCATCATCTCTGGCATGATGGTTTTCGGCTCGCTCTCGCCCTCAGGCTCCCCGTAGGCTTTTTCTGGCTCTGTGGTAGGTTCGGGTGCCATGGCTAACAACAACAAAGTCAGCTGGCGTTAAAAAGGCTGCCCACATTACGTAACAGTTAAAAATGATTTGAAAGGAATTGTTATTTTCTTTAGCTAAGTGGAAGGATTTACAGGAATTAGAGAACGCTGAGCTAAAAGCTTTTAAATCTCAAATTACATGTTCTGTATTTCCTTCCCTTGAATTAATACTGTTTCCTGAAACTGGAGATGAAATAGCTTCCTACTGATGTCCGAAAGTAAATAAAACTGCCATGCTTGCGATAACCCAGCAGAGTTGTTTTTATAGCAATGTTTTTTTCAGTTTCAATCCACAACGGATTAAGAAAATGAAATGTTTTTGCCAAATTATCAATATAGTGCTATATGCTATGAAAACTTGACTCTCAAAACCTCTTGAAATTTTCTTCCTTCCTGCTTGGGAACAAGTGGAAAACCACTAGGATCTAATACTAAGTGCATTGCTGATGTCAAGTGATTTACTTAACGATGCAGGTTAAAACATGAAAAGTCATTTAAAGATTTTCGAGTCTGGTCATGGTGATCTCATCGCTGGTGATATTTCAACTGATTCTCAAATTAGCCGACAACACACACAAGCCGGGCTACCTTGTTGGCTCGAATTTTTAACACCATTCAAGTAGTATAGTTAACAGTTTTCAAACACGAAGCAATATCATTGATTGTGACAGAAACTTCTCTAGTACATGAGTGAACTGCGTCGGTTTTGTGTGGTTTGAAACAAGATGGAAACTATTTCAACAATTTTTTAAGGGCTTGTTGCTGACGTAAATCTGTTAAAACAAAGGCATTGTATTTTTCTTTTCTAGGTTCAGCCGAAATGACATTCTGTCGTTAATTAAGAACAGAAACAAAACCGTTATATTGGTTCAAGATGGTTTTACATTTTTTTTACATATTTTATTTTGAGGTTCTGATGGTTGCTGTTTCCAGTGCTAGCTTAAAAACAAAAACAATAAAAAAAAGCTTTTTCAGGCATCGATTATGATAAATATTGGGCATCCCAAACACGCATTGTTTTCCAACATGCCTGCAAAAACAAGACTATTGGGTCAAGTTTGAAATAACCTCCTGTTAGCGGATGAGTTTAAAATAGACTTTTGGCTTCTGTAGTTTCCGTATTCTTTTCGTAGCTGCTGATTACAAGTTTTCTTTCATCTCAATTTTTGTCGGAAAAACTGGTCAGTTATAAAGAATTCGGTTTACGAATGGGCGCATTGAGCAATAAACAAGAAACAAAGAAGAGCCGACTAGTTGTTTACAATCAAGAAAATGTTAATTTGTGCAAGGAAAAAAGGAAAAGAGAACACAAGGCAGAACAGCTGTTGCCACAAAAGGGAAACTAGTCAAAATACAAGGGAAATCGATGTAACTTTGAAATCGTTGATGAGTGTTTCGCAATTAGGCTACCGGCGAATTTATGGGGGGTCGCAACTCAAATAACACGTCCTCAAGAAAACAACACACCATGTAGCGTTTAAGGTAATGGAAACTTAAAAGTTTGATGTGTGCAAAGAGTTTGAAACCGTAAGTGTAATGTATTAGTTAAAGATTGACTCGTGATCGGTAAGGAAATTTTGAGGTTAAGCTGACCAAGCCATTTCAAGAAGTCCATATCAAGCTATATGTTGTTTAGGCAGTAGAGCTTGAAGACAGTGCAAATATGAGTAACACTAGCTCTTAGATTTATCGCATCAGCTGATCAGGTTATACCCTGCGAAAGAGCACCGTCTTGAGCACAAACTCGAGTGTCTTCTACTTATTTGCAGTGGCTCATAAATGATGAAAAGGGTCCGTCACGTTTAAATATCTCTCTTCGCAATAACGTCGGTAGCCCATGGATCATTGTTGCTTGTTTGCTCAAAAATTATCATAAATGTATAACCTGAATGTCTAATAAAGTTTTAAATTGATGGCGATTTCTTTTTTTAATGTGCGACTAATCAATAGAAAGGTTTAGTCTTTTTCTTCTCACCTGTATTTCTTTGGGATAATCGGTGCTGTCCTTAACGACTTGGGAGCTCTCAGCAAATGAAGCTTATATCACGATACTCGATCAGTTTATCGACAATGTATTGTTGTACTCCACATACCTCATTATCAGCAAACAATTAACGATATTGGACCTATCACGTGATACCGCCCTTAACACTCGTGGCTAAATTAATTTGAGCAAAGTTTTTAGCGTTAGCACGCGCCTGTCAGTCAGTAACCTACTTTATCACCGGTCAAGATATGGATGCATAACTCTTATTCTTTTCATTTAAGTGTTTCAGATGAGTTTTTATTTCTAGATCAGTACAAAATCACCGTTAAGCTTAGTTTGTTTTCCTCTGTTATTTTGCAAACGTCAATGCACGCTCTAGTTGATATGCGGTTGATTGGCTGCTAAAGCTGAAAGTACTGAATTTAACGTCATGGAAATGATGTTGTCGTGCTTAATCATCAATGTTTATCCCTACCGTTGCGTGGCCAACAAATATTTGTTTACAGAGTGAGTTGAACTACGTAAGAAAGTAGTGAACCTTTACCAAAGAGTGTCGTTAGGCTATTTCATTTTCGTTCTCTCAAAACTTGCAACATTTATGTTAGACGTCTACTGTGTAATAAACAACTAGATTCTGTGTTGCGTGCGTCTCAGTGTTCAGTGATAGATCACGCTAATGATGTCAAAATGTGGCATAAGAACCTGAGAAATGTTGCACACGAGGCGTTAGTCGAGTGCGTCACTGATGTTCTTACCACATTTGGCTCGTCTTCTGTGATCATTTACTGAACAGACGCGCGGCAACATGGGATCTATTTGTCTTATATGATAAAGAAACCAAGGAAAATTGTTAATGACGTCATCTATGTGTCTGTCCTCCAATTGATCATAAGTATGAACCAATCAGAATGCCAGAATAAGTTGACTGATTATATATTTGTTTTGCACCGTCATTTTCATACACGGTTCGGTTGTCAAAAATATGATCCCTGTAACCACGTTTATGGGCGGGTTTAGCTGAGATTCTTAGTTCTTTTGTGCGGATTGCGAAGCTCTTAATTAAGACATCCGTTGAAATTTTCTTGTCGTGATTTCCGAAACTCATTTTTACTTCCAACAGGGCCATACTTATCCCTTCGTAATTACTTATGCAAATGCTGGGTGACTCAGTGATATACAAAGGAGCTCTGTTCAACTATGAAAAATATTCCGATGACACTTGATTTTCCAAACATCTAATTAGAAATGATCAGGAATTCCTGAGTCCAGTATAAAACAGCAAATTGTAGTCGATCAATTTTCGTGTCATTTGGCTTTGGCAAACTGGTCACTCTTCTTTCATAATTTCCTTTGTGCAGTTGAACGTTATGCTCCAATATAATTAGTCTGTCGGTAAAGATTTAAATTCGTCGGCTCTTGAAATGGTGCATTAAATGCCCGGCTTTTTCACTACGTTGCCATGCAGGCCAAGAAACTTGAAGAAAACCGAAAACTCCAGCGATGTTGTCTTGGTGTGGCCATGGAACCAAACCGTGGAAAAATCATGGCTCTAATGAGCAGAACTGAACAAATATGTTATGATGGAATGTGCACATGCATGACCTCCTTAGCATAGGACATCGACAAAGTAGAGTCATAGACACCGGGAAATTGAGCTTATGACCTATACTGGTCAGACGCTCTATTTATAAACTACCGAGCTATAGAGACTCATGAAAAACAAAGCTATGCTTTTACTAGGTTGATAATCGCCATGTATACATACAGTTTTGTTGACGACTGAGGCATCAAAATTATCAGGCAAGCATATGTATATATGTTCTCTTGTACGTGTAATGGGATTGAATCAAGGGAAGGCGCTGGGAGAACTCGAGTTACAAACCCTGTATTCGGTTCTGAAAGAAGTTTCTGACAACGTTATAACCGCCTAGTTTAAATAATGAGCTATTTAACATTTTCCGTTTCAGTATAAAAAACCAGGAACCTTTGTGCGCTCATTTTAAAAGATGAATCTTATAAACATTTGGACTACTCTGATTGGTCTGGTACTAACGTTACAGTAGTTTTTTGTCATCGAGTTTCGACCGCGGCGAGTTTCCAGTCGATGGTTCAGTGAATATTTAGTGAATCGTGCTGGAACTGATATGAAGTAGTCCTACAATCTGCAATGAACACACAAATTCCCCTTACTGTTCTTCATAAAATGTTTGGGCCATGCGTTTGGGGAATTATAAACAAGTGAGCCTCTCAATAATCAGTTGCTCTTTTCTGAGTGATGTAGTTTTGAAAACGCACTCTTTTGTAGTCAGGCCGAACTTAGCGTTTTTCCCGACTACATCACATTATTTGTAACGGGGGATATTATCGTAGCCGACTATCGCAGAATTGCTTTGACAACCTGGCAGTAATACCTGTGGCAGAGGGGGAGGGGGGCGGGGAGCTACCTGGACTGCAGTAGGATCCCATCTAGGGAGGTCAGAGCGGTACACAAACTGCGTCATGGTACGTTGTTTGCGTTGTTACGGTCCCATAAATGTTGGTGCGCTTAATTATTAGCGTCCAGGCTATCACTCTTTTCTGTTATAAGGTGAGCTTATTGTGACTGTAATTTGTAACGTATTGTCAAGAGAAAAAAGGGAAATGAGAGAAAATGAGGGGACAATGTATTGTCTAATGTTTTAAATTTAATAAGTAGTTTCTTCGAAACACATTTGAGGACAAAAACTAGAGATAAAAACAAACGAAGCTTCGATCTCGCTGAGATCATCATCAAGTTTAGAAAGTGATTAAATTGTTTTCTCATATATTATTAAAAAGAGGTGAGAATTTGAAAAGCGATAAAAATATGTAAATATGCATTAAGTGTTACAAAATGTAGTGATAATATCTAAAATACAAAAGGCTAGATAAGAACCTATAATTAATTTAGTGTTTGTGTTGTTCTACCAGCTACTAGCCTTCTGTTTCAGTACCCACGACATGAATAATAACATATACATCCTGCGTATAAAGATGGCTTTTAATTGAACCATATTTCTTCAAAAACACACAAAAAAAAAAGAGAAAAAAAAGTCGAAATACACAGTAGCGGTTAAATACGTTGCAGCACTGAGAATAAATGCATAACTTGTGACATTTAAGAGACTTCAAATAGTTACCAGCAAAAGCCTGAATTTGACGGTGAGAGAGAGGTGACATACTTCTTGAGAAAACTCACCATATTCTAAATAACTCGACGCAGCAAAAGTTCAAAAAGCCATTTAGTTCTCAGTCTCACTCTTTTCCGAGTAAAGTCAAGGATATCAAGTCAGTAACCAACAAAAAGAATTTTTTTCAGAAGCAAAATTTACAGCAAATACAGTCACTAAAAAGAAATCTCTAGAATCCATAAAATACTTCGTTTATGATCAGGTTGTAGGCCAACACTCGGGTACTTCACTGTCTTCACTGAACGCCTGCAAATAAATATTTGGAATGGAGGATCGTTACAAACTGGCAACGGTAATATCAAACAATATGCACAATTAACATCAAACAAGTTAGACATGAGTCATTTTTTCTTTTTTCTTTCCATATGTTTAAATGAAGACAATTAGACAAAAATTGTCGGATTGAAACGCAGAACTCTGGGATAAACAAAAGCGAAACTGTTCGAAAAAACTGAAAACTTGGGTGTTTGTGACAAACAAAGGAATTAAACCAAATAACATCAACAAACTGACATAAAACAAACAAAGAAGCAAGCAGACCGGCAGACAGACAAACAGAGAAAAAACAACAAACAAAGAAACGAACACGACTCAAATGTGCAGTCATCGCATGGGACATTTATACTAACCATTGAACTAACCGTTATAAGCTTTCATGTCAACTGATCCGGTTGAGTTAATCAACCTCGACACCCTATTAGTGAATCAATAAAAACTGAATGAGATCATCTCTAAGAATTAAGAACAAAATAACTGTTACCACTCATCTCGTACCCATGAAACTCCATAACTAACGACCAACCCACCAAACCAGCAAACCGTCCACCTATCGTCCTGCCTACGTACCTACGTACCTACCTGCCTACCTACTGCCTGCTTAGGTACCTATACCGCTACCTGCCTAACAGTTAATGACCGATCTTTCATCCTATCTTTGGTCGTTAACATACCATCCTTACAGTGTCGTCTCACCTCTTCTAGCTACCTGTTCCTTCCTAGGTCTACCTACCTTCCTGCCTATCTGCCTACTTATACCTATACCTACCTACCTATACTACCTACCAACCTACGTTAGCAGTCTTAGCTACCTGTACCTTCTTAAGTCTACGTACCTGCCTTATTGCCTACTTGAATTGTCTGCCTTCATACCTACCTAGTTACCAGCCGCGACTAGATAATACCCTTGCCCAAATATGTACCCTTGTCAGTAAACAATTTATTATAAACAAGTGAATTACAGAAGACGCAATATATTAATATTTATACAAACGAAAACTAACTTTTTCTTCAGCATGATGTACAGGACCAGCAACACGACACAGAAGACAGCCAGAGCGAAGATAAAGATGCCGTACATCAAGAACGCTTCCTGGTTGGTCATTATCTCAGGGAACAAAGTGTTTGGTTCCGCCGAGCTCTCCGGGGTCGATTCAGGTTCGGGCGTGGTTGAATTGTTTTCGGATTCTGATGCCATGGTTGATGCTCTAAAGGCAATTAAAAAGGGTTGTGCTATTGTTTGTTTACAGTTGACACGATTTAAGTCGAAAAAGCTTCTACTTTTTGGGGGGAAAAACGTCGAACCAATTTTTCAGAATTCGCTAGCAACCATCATGGCCACGAAGTCAACAACAACATTCCTAAAAAGATTTTCTCCATGCCAGCAAATTCGTATCTTTCTTTTCCCTAGAGAAACATGTCTGAATTTCTCTCCCGCCAGCAGATTCCTTGACAAAATCCTCCAGCGGACATGTAACCCGAATGTAGGAACCCAAATTTATAACCCTGCTGTTGGGTGGTTCGACCATACGGAGACCCTGCCCCCATAGTTGGATAACTGATCATCAGCCAACGTCTCATACGCCCAGACCACAACCTCAAGCTCCATGTACAAAGAGAGGGTTGTGCCAAAAGATTGTTATAAAAATTAACAGCTTTCAATTGAATAGGCATCAAATACGTATAAAACGGTACATAAAGGTTTTCGAAGAAAACGGAGTGGGAACAAA